GAGACCTCATCTCTACAATAAATCAAAAAATCAGCCTGGCGTGGTAGCGCGCACCTGTAACTCCGGCTACTCGGAAGGTGGAGGCGGAAGGATCGCCGGAGCCCAGCAGGTTGAGGCTCCCATGGCCGGGAGCGGCCACTGCACTCCAGTCTGGGCAACAGAATGAGACTCCAACTCAAAAAATAAATAAATAAATAAAATAAATAAAAATAAAAAAAGAAATTCACAGCTGGGCAAGGGGGCTCATGCCTATAATCCCTGCACTTTGGGAGGCTGAGGTGAGAGGAGCCCACAGGTTCAAGAGCAGCCTGGCCAACTTGGCAAGACCTCATCTCTATAATAAATCAAAAAGAAAAGAAAATTAGCCAGGAGTGGGGATGCAAACCTGTAGTTCCAGCTACTCGGAAGTCTGAGATGGAAGGATCGCCTGAGCCCAGCCAATCGAGGCTGCAGTGACCATGAGCGTGCCACTGCACTCCAACCTGGGCTACAGAGTGAGACTCTGACTCAAAAAAATAAATAAAGATGGGAGTGGCCACACCTCATCAACAAGGGTACCTGCAAAATGAACATTTGCACACCTAACCCTGAACTGTAACCCACATCTTTAAAACAAATAAAATAAAATGCAAAAACCAAAATTCACTGGGAAAGAAAATCACAATCTCTTCTTCCCTCAAAACCACCTGAAAACTAAAAGCATGAAGCACTTTACAGAGTTCTGTAACAGCCCTGAGTACATAAGGGCTAATCCAGAAACAGAAGAAGCTACAGCACCTATGGAGGACTGCTTTCTTGCCCCTCCACCCTCCAAAGCAGGGAATCCTGGCTCCTTGCTATGGGGAAGCTGCATCAGTCACACAGGCCGTGGCCTGATTCACAACAGGCCAGAGCTCCCAAGGACCTGCTCTCAGAGCTCAGAGAGAGAACAGGCACTGTGAATGGTGCCCAGCACTGGGCAGCCCTTGTCTTGGCATCACTGGGCAATCTTCTTAAAACGCTTTAGCATTTCCTACTCATTTGGTAAAACAGCAATAATAAGTTGTACAAAACGAAGATTAAAGAGAATTACCAATCATACTCAAAGTTTAAGATTAAGAAGCTCATGGAACACATTTGAGCTAAGATATTTAAGTACCATATTTCAAGTAACCTTTAGCAAAAGGATGCAACCATTTAACTGTCTTGACCCTTCATCTCCTAAACTCCAGATAATCTTCTCTTACATATCATTTCTTTCTTTTTTTTTTTTTTTGAGTTGGAGTCTCACGCCATTGCCCAGGCTGGAATGCTATGGCACACTCACGGCCACCCCAGCATCGACCTGCTGGGCTCCAACGATCCTTCCACCTCAGCCTTCCAAGGAGCCGGAACTGCAGGCACACGCTACCATGCCCGGCTAATTTTTTAAAATGTATTGTAGATATGAGGTCTCGCCAAGTTGTCCAGGCTGGTCTCGAACCCAAAAACTCGGGCAATCCACTCACCTCATCTCCCAAAGTACTGGGATGACAGGCTGAGCCACCAAGCCCACCCACATATCATTTTCTTTCTACAGGATATCTACATTGCTCCCCTTATTCACAGCACACACTTTGGGGCCAAAAATTTCAGCTTTCTGCTAAACTGACAGGTTTAACAGTGCTGAAGAGACTGACTTCAAACACAACAGGTATAATAGTGGTTTACACAAATGTAAATCAGAAGACTGAGCCTCTTCACCTTGCCTGGCGGAAACACAGACTTATAGCAGCAGATAAAAATCTCAAAAATTAAAACCTTACAATGTATGATACACTTTTACTGAAGACATGAAAGCCTGATTTTCAGAGATGTGGTTACTATGAAAGCTCTAAGTTTCAAAAGAACTTATTTCTAAAATACTAAAGTTACTTAAAGAATTGGTTTACCTCTCAAAGGGAAGTAAGGAAATTAAAGGAGAACATACACGTTTCATTTTGGGGCAAAAAGAAAATGACCTTTTTTAGAAAAAATATAGAAATGCCAAGTAAGGGTTATCTCAAATATTCAATACAGTTTACAATTCATGTCATTTTAGGTTTTCTTTGAATTTTTTTCTAATAAAAGTACTAAATAACATCATTCGCCTACAATTTCCCCATAATAATAAACAAAACAAAAGATATAGTAAATCCCAATGTACTTATTTTAAAACAATTTTTTTTGTTGTTTTGAGTTGGAATCTCACTCTGTCACCCAGGCTGGAGGGCAGTGGTGGCACGTTCACGGCCACCTCTGCCTCAACCTGCTGGGTTCAGATGATCCTTCCACCTCAGCCACCCAAGCAGGTATACCACATCCAGTTAATTTTTTTTTTTAATTTATTGTAGAGACGAGGTCCCGCCATGTTGCCCAGGCTGGTCTCGAACCCCTGGGCTCAGGTAATCCTCTCGCCTCAGCCTCTCAAAGTGCTGGGATTACAGGCATGAGCCACTGCGTCTGGCAAAAAACAATTTAAAATTTTCAAAGATAATCTGATTAACACGAAACACTGAAACTAAATAATAAATTCCCAGGTCCTAGAATAGCACATAGCATATAGCTATTGAATGAATGAACAAACAAACAAATGAATGCCAACTCACCTGGGGTGCAAAAATGAATGCGTCTGAGAAACATGGTCACCTTCCTGCTTTATGACAGGATACCATGACTGTAATTCCATTTCTGACGGTGCATCTGTCTGCAGAAAAATGTGGAAGGGACTTTTTTTAGTGTGTGTATTCTTTTTAAATCATCCTGCTAAAAAAAAAAAAAAAAATCAGGAAAAAACCGTTTACTGAGGGAAAATGTGATGGTTAATTGTATGTGTCAACCTGACTGGCCCACTGAGTAAAAAGTTACATGATTTAAGAGACACCTTCTAATAAGGCAGTTCTTTCCTGAAGTTATCATATCTCTTCACTTGGAAAGGGACAACTACATGAACCATGCCATCACAAGAACAGTTTCAGTATGCATGTTAACATGGATTACCAGAAATCATTTCATCAAATTTCATCCTTGTATAACATACTTTAAATAATAGTAAATGTGTAGCATTAGGAAATTCTGATTCTCATTCTTGCTGCTATATCAGCTAAAGTATACCCCACTCTGACAAGGATTTGTTAGCGTATTAACTAGATTCCATTCTATAGCAATAAATAATTTGCCAAGCTAAACCCCAAACTCCTTTGTTTTCTAATATTTTCTAATAAATGTGAAAAGCATACGTTTAGTGCTTAAAGATGAACTGTAGGACAGGCGTGGTGGCTCACGTCTGTAATCTCAGCACTTTGAGGGCAGAGGCAATAGGACTGCCTGAGCCCACGGTTTCAAGACCAGCCTGGGCAACTTGGCAAGATCTCGTCTCTACAATAAATCAAAAAATGAGCCAGGCATGGTGGCACATGCCTATAGTTCCAGCTACTTGGAAGACTGAGGCAGAAGGATCACCTGAGCTCAGCAGGTTGAGGCTGCGGTGGCCGTGAGTGTCTGCCGCACTCCAGCCTGGCCGACAGAGACTCCAACTCAAAAAAACCAAAAAACAAAAACATGAATTCTGGCCGGGCATGGTGGCTCACACCTATAATCCCAGAACTTTGGGAGGCCAAGGTGGGAGGATCTCTTGAGGTCAGAAGTTCAAGACCAGACTGGGCAACACAGTGAGACTGTGTCTCTATACAAACATTTAAGATTAGTTGGGTATGGTGGCATGCACACATAGTCCTAGGCACTTGGAAGGCTGCGGAAGGAGGATTGCTTCAGCCCAGAAATTGGAGGTCACAGTGAGCTTTGATTGTGCCACTGTACATCTGGCCTGGGCAACTGACTGAGACCCTGTCTCAAAAACAAAACAAACAGGCCGGACACAGTGGGTCAAATTCTGTAAACTCAGCACTTTGGAAGGCCGAGGTGAGAGGACTGCCTGAACCCACGGGTTCGAGAACAGCCTGAGCAACATGGTGAGTCCTCATCTCTACAATAAATCAAAGAATGAGCCAGGCATGGTAGCACATGCCTGTAGTTTCAGCTATTTGGTTTTTGTTTTGTTTTGTTTTTGAGTCAGAGTCTCCCTCTGTCGCCCAGGCTGGAGTGCAGCGGCACACTCACAGTCGCCGCAGCCTTGACCTGCTGGGCTCAGGCAGTCCTTCCGCCTCTGCCTTTCATATAGCTGGAACTATAGGCACGCACCCCAAGCCCATCTAATTTTTTGATTTACTGTAGAGATGAGGTCTCACCAAGTTGCCCAGGAGAGTATCGAACCAGGGGGCTCAGGTAATCCTCTCACCTCAGCCTTCCAAAGAGCTGGGATTCTAGGCATGAGCCACTGCACGAGGTCAGCTTCAGCTGTTTAGAAGGTTAATGGGGAAGGATCGCCTGAGTCCAGCAGGTTGGCGCTGGGGTGGTCATGAGCGGGCCACTGCACTCCAGCCTGGGCGACCGAGTGAGACTCCTACTCACCAAAAAAAAAAAAAAAAAAAAGTGTCAAACTGCAATTTTCTTTCTAATTTTAAACTATATTTTTTAAAATGTTTAAACCGCCGGGCTGGGTGGCTCAGCCTGTAATCCCGCGCCTTTGGAAGGCTGAGGTGAGTGGCTTGCCTGAGCCCACGGGTTCGAGACCCACCTGGGCAACTTGGCAAGACCTCATCTCTACAATAAATCAAAAACTAGCTGGGCGTGGTAGCACGCGCCTGTAGTTCCAGCTGCTTGGAAGGCTGAGGTGGAAGGACTGCTTGAGCCCAGAGTCTGGGGCTGCGGTGAGCCATGATAGTGCTACTGCACTCTAGCCTGGCCAGCAGAGTGAGACCCTGACTCAAAAGAAATAGTATTTTAAAAAGATTTAAGAATGGACTATTCAATAAGGGCCTCTATACAATACATAAGAGTAGAATTTTTTTTAAAAAGACCTCACAATCCTGATTAAATACTAAAAATTCAAATATAACTCCTATTCTTATGTAATACTCAGAGTATAGGCAAATTCAACTGTTTATTTACAAAATGAACGAATTACTTGTTGATGTATCTCAGCCTACAACTAGTTCAAACAGTAAATTAGAATGGGAACTAACTTATGGCAACAGAAATACTAAATGATAGATAGACTGACAGCCTAAGGAGGAAGGAAAATTACAAGTTGCACACATAAAAATTGTTTCAGCTGGGCTCGGTGCCTCAGCCTGTAATCCTGCGCTTTGGGAGGTTTAGGTGAGTGGATTGCCTGAGCCCGTGGGTTCGAGACCCACCTGGGCAACTTGGCGAGACCTCATCTCCACAATAAATCAAAAAATTAGCCGGGCGTGGTAGCGCGCACCTGTAGTTCCAGCTACTCAGAAGGCTGAGGCGGAAGGATCGCCGGAGCCCAGCAGGTCGAGGCTGCAGTGGCCGGGAGCGGCCACTGCACTCCAGTCTGGCCGACAGAGTGAGACTCCGACTCAAAAAATAAAAAATAAATAATAAATAAAATTAAAATTACTAATACCAATTGACATATTTTAAAGTTTTTCCTGGTATGAATACTAGAATCTTAAAAGCTTCTTTAGTCAAAGACCTTGACTTGAAATCTAACTCAATTTTGATCCAGTTCATTTCAAAATCCTGCAATTTGGCTTGTAAGAGTAAGTTTCATCTTTGCTCATGATTCAAACCTAACAGCTATTTCTGTGATGTCTCCAAACTTCAGACACAACCTTAAATAACTACTAGCACGTTCGTTTATTTTTAAACAGCCATTCCTCTTCGTTCCTATTCATCTCCTAGTCTTGAGCAACGTACTACCAGAGTCACAGACTAGAGGTTCTAGGAAAATCTTAAACATCACATTGACTGGTCCTATAGCCAAGCCTGAATTCCCTGTTTAAAATCCCTGTTCAGTGTCTATCCAGCCTCTGCGTCAACAGCAGCCTGCAGGCAAGAACAATCTTCCTTTGGTATTTTTAGTACCTAGCACCATGCCTAGCATGTAGTATGACTCAATAAATATGTGTTGAATGAATTTTGAATGACAGTGCAGCTAATTAATTCCCAAGGTAGCCTTTTACAAGGTTATTCTGCTACTATAAAACTCTGTCTCTTTCATATTCAATATCCTTCTCTCCATTAAGCACCAAAATGGGCCTATAGTCTCTAGGCTGTATTTTATCAGAGATGCAAATTAAATAATACAAATAATGGGGACATGCACACACTAACCACGATAAAATGTTACAAGTTAATTTTACCTAATATGCTGCGGTAAACCATGAACTCATTTATAACAAATTATTCTAACTGCATGTTAAAAACAATTAAGGAAAGCACACTGTTTATTATACAACAAAACATTCGGAGACATGCCAGATTTTCTCATCTATTCTGCATTTGTGTCAACATACAAATTAGATTTCTTTAAAAAAGAATAATATAATTAAAATGGCATAGCAGTAAATGCAACTAATCAGGAATAAGAACTAGATACCAAATTATGAGAATCCTTACCTTTCAACATGAGAATAATTTACTCCTTTGTATATTTAAACATTTAAAAAAACACAGTATATTACTTGTCAAAAGAGAGAAGCAGGTCATTTAGTAGCTTACATTAGAGTCTTAACATTTTAAAACACAGCTGGGCACACGGTAGCTCACACCTTTAATCCCAGTTCCTTGGGTGGCTGAGGTGAGAGATATGCCTAAGCCCAGGGGTTCGAGACCCGCCTGGGCAACTTGGCAAGACCTCGTCTCTACAACAAATCAAAAAATCAGCCAGCCATGGTGGGGCACATCGGTAATTCCAGCCACTTGGAAGGCTGAAGTGGAAAGATCGCCTGAGCCCAGTAGGTCGCATCTGCAGTGGCCGTGAGCGTGCCCCTGCACTCCAGCCTGAGTGACAGAGTGAGCCTTCGACTCAAAAAAAAAAAGGAAAATACTTTTATCGCCCACTTTCCTCACCATTATCTACCCTAAAATGAGCAGATGGTATCTTCATCTCAAACACACAAGGCAAAGTTTCAGACATACCATTTCATTCTCTCAAGTCATAAAACTCCAAATAATGTCTATGAAAACTAAATTTAAACAATCCCAAAATATACAGAGTAAAAGAGTTCATTTAAAATAAGTAACAATTAGGAAATGTTTTATAAACGTTTCTCTAAATTTCTGCATCTTACTGTGGTTATTTGTGTACATAATCCTTTGCTATCCTAAGAAAGAACCATTGTATTTTACTGATATGACTTATTGGTCTCACAATAATAGATAAATCAAAGACCTTTACTTTTTGTTTGTTTGTTTGAGTTGGAGTCTCACTCTGTCAACCAGGCTGGAGTGCAGTGGCACACTCATGACGACCACAGCCTCGACCTGTTGGGCTCAGACGATCCTTCTGCCTCAGTCATCCAAGTAGTTGGAACTACAGGCACGCACTACCATGCCCAGCTAATTTTTTTGTTGTAGGGATGAAGTCTTGCCAAGTTGCCCAAACTGGTCTTGAACCCAAGGGCTCAAGCAATCCTCTCACTTCAGCCTTCTGAAGTGCTGAGGGTAGGGAGTTTTATTTAATTTACAAAATTTTTTTGGTCACTGTTTTCTAAACACAAAAGCAATCACATTCACTCAGCATTATTCATATGTAAATATTCCAATTTATACTTTTAAAAATCCTAAAAGGGGAGAGAAGGGGGGGCACACAGCACCAACAAGGGGACCTGACCT